ATTTTTCTAGGTGCTCTCTGTCTGTCTCTCTCTTTCTCTCATACAATTAAGCTGTTTTAGCAGTTTTTCTCCATCTCTGCGAAGCCACAATTTTTAAGAGTTATGAAACAGCAGGTTTCCCTATTAATTTCCTTCTGTCTTATTACGTCATAGAGTTTAACATCAAATCACTTAATCTTTATATTTAAAAAAAAACTCCAGACTATGCTGTAATTTCAGTTAAGTGTTGAGCCTCAATTCAAAAATTGAACAAAATATACACGTCAAAAGATAGTTACAGCGGTTTAACTATGAACCTGAATCATTATAAACTGAAAGGAAGGGTCCTACAACATCTATATGGACAGTTTGCTAAAATGCTGAAGGTAATTCAAAATTTTGAATAAGGGATAATGCATTTTAATCCTTTTTACCTGTATGCAAGATAAACACTTTTACATATCTATTTAAACATGGACCAAAGTATCTTTATTCACCTTTGTAAATAATCCAATACTGACATGAGATATTGATTGATTTAATAGCCGTACTTTTGATAAATCGTTTATCTACGGGCACGACGGCTGAATATTGCCAAATTTTCAATTTATTAACCTTTTTCGCAGACTTTCTGCAATCACATTAGAAGCAAAAAATACTAAATTCTAATGATATATTTTCAAACAGATTTTATCTCGAATTTTAAACACTCTAAATTATTTTATGAAACTAAATACAATTTTATCATTCAAATACATGTACACAGATCCTGTCGATAAATATTTTGTCCTTAATGACTTTAAATACTATCGTGTTTTGTTTTTTTTTTTTATCCGAAAGGAATATAATTATATCCAAGCAGTCCAAAATATATATTACTTGCTGTCTTCGGCACATTATCAAGATTTATTTTAATCTCGCGATAAACTGAAGTTGAGTCTGTCTTTGAAAAAAAATAAGGCATTTTTTGGTTTAGAGGGAAACTTTGTTGATATTTAGTATTGAGTGTCGATCAGTTTTTGTAATAGAGCAGGTTAATCATCGTAGCATCTGTAATGATAGTCGGATTTTGAAAAAGGATGGAAGGAATTTGTCTATTCCCTTTTTAGAAGACGATATCGCTCCAAACATTTTTAATTCTGTTCATGCTACCGAGGATTGTTCTGTAGAATTATGTTTTGACAAGAATTGCTTCTTTTCTCAATCCTGTGTAAACTATAGTAGAGATTTAACACTTGAGTATTCCTATTAATTCTATCATAAACGAAGGACGACTAATGTCGTTAACATAGATGTTTCTCGAAGACATTTAAATTAATTTCCCTTTCTAGAATTCTTGTATTGCATACTTTTATTTTTACAATCTGTTTAAGTTAGAGTTGTTACAAAATTAAAACCTAACAAACGGATCAGTGACACCATCGATCACTGAATTCAATCAGTTTATTTAAAACAAATACATTCCAATCAAATTCGCTTGTCCTTGAAATTTTATTTTGTCATTAGGAGATAGAGATTGGAGTCGAGTTCAAAACAGTGCTATTAGCAAGAGAAATTTTTAATATAGAAATACTTGTCTATATCTTTGAGATGAAGTATTATGATTATTTACATTATTTATATTATCCGGACTGTTATCCTCATCTTCATTGCCATATTCACAACGTTTCGGCCGTTGTAAACTCCGGCCTTTTTCAGGTGACTGGACACATGACTCAGTGGATAAAGACGTTGGTTAGAACCAGTGACTAGACCCAAAAAGTTGTGAGTTCAATACCAGGCTACAACAGTGGTGAAAAAAACTTGGAGAGTTGAGTTAAAGAGAAATAATTGAGACATCCGGAAGAGGCATGGCACGTGGAACTACAACAATCTATCCCTGTGGTAGGAATAAAGGGTTCGGTTCAAAATTACAATCACCTGAAGAAGGCCGGAGCTTACAACAGCTGAAACGTTGTGAATATGGCAATGAAGATGAGGATAAATTCTGTTTATACTTCCTTGTTCATATGGCTAGATGTAACCGTAAGTTCTCTGCTAACAGTTTCTTTTCTCATACTTGTGGCACTCTATTTCAGTTTCTTGCTTTCTATTCAAGTTTGATCTTCAGAAAATTAAATGCAATATCAATCGTTATGTTGCTTTTCCTCACTTTAGTGAAAGGTTCTTTTTCTAACATGGACGAATAATCACACCCAAAATATAACGTTCAAAGACCAGTGTTACGAGGATGCATTTCTATAATAAGGGATTCCACTGAGTTCTACTTGTTATTACAAAAAAGTTTTCATTGATGAAGTAGTTGTAAAATAGAGAAATTAGAAATAGAATGTTTGGAAGATTCTAGATCATTCTAGTATATTCGAGAAAAATCTAGATGATTTGAGAAACATCTAGAAATATGCAAATTAGGTGTTAGCCCCTATAAAAATGGGATTTTGGAAAAGGGTTGCCAGTTGAAAAGAAAATTTCTACTGTTATCAACTCCGGCTTTTGATTCGAGGACTATTATATCCAGCCGAAAGAATCTCTATAAAAAGTTGCCAACCAACAAAAACCCAAAAGAGAATTTCATGGAACAAAGTTGGTAAATAGAATTTTGACTAATTTTCATTGACCAAACTAAAAATTAATATTTATTTACACACCTTTGTGGATTTCCAAATATAACACTTAGATTACTTCACTAGCCCTAAAGTGATAAAGATATTTGACTCTCTTTCCTTCTCCCTCGTAACACTTCGCCATTAACTCTGTGTTTTCTGTTTTGTAGGCCACAATTGTTTGTCTTGTATATATTTTAGGTTGTGTTTTAGTAAATTAAATATTTGTTTGTGATTTAGCTCTGTGTTGTGGTAAATCATTTTTCCTTTTGTTACAATTAACACGTAACACCAGCTACAGACGTCAATGTTGATTCTTTTTATGCTCTTCTGAGCTTGAAACGAATCCAATCGTCAACTCATATGTCCGGTTAGCCACCGCTTGGGTACTTCAAGGTGCCCCAATTTCTTAGTTCTTTTATATGCAGTCTCCCTTCAGGATGTAGGTGATCATGGCTCTCCACTTCATCTGGCCCTTTTAGTTCTTAATAAGTTTTATCTTTTTTGTTATTTCTCCCAATCCCTGTTCTGCCATCGACTTGCTGAAGCCAATGTCACGTGTTACTTTCCCCTGTCCCTCTTTCCCCCTGTGAGTATTAGCTTTTTCGAAACCTTCTTTCTTTATTAAGTATTCCAGAAATTTCACCTGCCTCTTCCTGGTGTTAAGTATAAGTTTCCTCTTTGTTTCCGTTCTCTCCAAAATCTCGTCGCTGCTCACATGTTCGGCTCATTAGCATCCTTCTGTAGAACCACATTTCTGTTATTTCGAGTCTCTTCTTTGTCTTTGAAGAGATTATCCAACATTCGCTGCCATACCGGAGTTCAAATATCATGTAACAGTTCAATATTCTTTTCTCTGTCTTGTAATACTCGGCTTAGCTTTTGGAATGCGTCTTTGGCCATCCCAATACGTCTTCGGATCTCAGTGCCACAATTTCCGTCCTCTGTTAGAACACTTTCCAGATATTTAAATTTCTGTACCTACTTGATTTTAGTGTCCCTGACCCGGACATCACATTTTGGGCTCATCTTTTTTCTAATGACCATGAATTCTGTCTTCTTGTGGTTTATGCTTAGTCCCTTCTTCACGCTTTCCTTTGCTACCTTCTGTAGGAGGTTTTGTAGTTTCCTTTCCGTGTCTGCTATCAGAACTGTGTCATCTGCATATCGTATGTTGTTAAGATTATGGTCGCCAATGATGCATACTGGTAGGATTTCCAGTTCTCTCAGAATTGCCTCGCTGTATAGGTTGAATAAGTCCGGTGAGAAGATACATCCTTGCCTTAAACGCTTTTCGATTTCTGTATATCTACTGAACTCATTTTTTTGACGGTGTGCTGACAGTAGAAAATTTTGATTATTCTAATGTCTTTCTCGGATATGTCAAGGTTGCCGAGAAGCTCTAACAGTTCTTTGCGGCCTACTTTGCCCAACGCCTTTGCGTAGTCTATAAAACAAATGTACAAGTTCTTCTGCAACTGTATTGCTCTTTCTGATAATATTCTGAGCATAAATATTGTATTCTTTGTTCCGGTGTCTTTAACGAACCCGCACTGTTCTTGTCCTATCTCTGGCCTAATTCTGGTGCACGCTCTATTCATTAGAATTCGGATGATGAGTTATGTTATGTGGCTCATTAGGCTGATTGTTCGGTGGCGTTCACATTCGTTTGAGCCTGGTTTCTGAGTCAGTGCTATGAAAATAGATCTGCTTAGGTATTCTGGTACAACACCACGGTTTTAGATTTCATTTATTATTTCTGTATTCTTGTCGAAGTCATCTAAGGTTGCCAGCATCTCTGTTACAATTCCGTTTGGCCCTGCTACCTTGTTTCCGTTCAATATGGCCAGTGCAGCTTCCACTTCGGTTTTTAGTATTTCCGGCTGTCGATATTTCAGTGCATTTCCGGTTGTTCCCTTTCATCATGGAAGAGATCTCCAATATATTCGTTCTAGCGATGAAGATTTTTTTTTCTTTCTCTATGAGCGTTTCGTCTTTGGATTTTATGCAGCATATCTTAGTTACTATATTAAAAAGAAATTTAAAAAAATCGTCTGAAAATGAAATATTCTTCTCAAACTAATTAGTGGGAAAGGGGTTAATCATGTTTTTCTTTCTCTTATATATTTTCACACTGAATACTCCTCTCCGTCTTAGTGGCTTAATTGCCTTGCTTGGGGCGAAATGACTAAGAAAAAATATTAGTGAAATCAATTCTGAATAATTTGAGTCATAGTTTCTTCCTTTTCTAACGCCAAATTGTTTTTTTACATATTCCATATAGTTCTACAAGTTGATACTAAAAGGTCACGCATGGGTTATGTATGCGGAGGGATTAAGCGTTAATATATCCAGGATCCACGAGATATAACCTCCAATATGACTATTTATTCGTTACATTCATTTGGACAAATGAGCTACGGTGAAATCACGTTGAAACCGCACGTTCTCCTTCGATCATCGAAGTTAAGCAGCGTCGAGCCCGGTTATTACGTAGATGGGAGACTGCTTAGGAACACCTAGTACTGTAAG